GCACTTGTTTCTAATAGCTTCTTGTTACTACTAGTAAGGCACTTGTTACTAGAAGCTTCTTGTAACATTCCGAAGGAAATTCTGGAAAAACTGTGGGTTGACTCCGAGTTCCCGTTGGACTACACCTCTATTGGTATCAAGAGGGAAGAAGCTCTCAGCGTGCGAGGGAGACTTTTGGACCATGTCTGGTGTCCCATCAGTTACGTCCATCCCAAGAAGCCGCTCTTCCCGAAGGATGGTCAGATTGATCCGGCCGATTTGATGCAGGGCCACTTGGGTGACTGTTGGCTGATCACTGCCATCTCCACCATCGCTGAATATCCTGAAGCGGTGAAGAAGATCTTTGTGACCAAGGAGCACAATGAAATTCCACATAGGCTGGAGGCCATGAGGCCATCATGCATCACTTCGGTAGTAGGTTGGAGGCCATCGCCAGTAGGCTGGAGGCCATTGCTAGTAGGTTGGAGGCCATCGGTACTAGGTTGGAGGTGTGGCCATCGCTATTTATTTCTGCAACGCCCAGGAGCACAATGAAATTGGGCAATATGTCCTTCGCCTATGGTGCGAATACTACCAAGAATGGATCGACGTCAAAGTGGACTCCTTCGTTCCGATTGACTTAGGTGGAGGCACGGCCTATGAGGGGAAACCCTGCGTCTATGTGAATCCCACGGATGATTCTGTGTGGATGTGCATTTTGGAGAAGGCCGTCGCCAAGATCCTTGGAAACTACATGCAGTTGAATGGCGGCTTAGTCTCTGAGGGTTGGAAAATCATGTGTGGGGCCTCTGATGCAGACGTTGAGAACTGGCAAATCAGTGCGGATGGATGGGGGAAGATGAAGATGCCATTTGATCTTCAAGATTTGGATGTTGAGTGGGATGAAACCACGAAAAGTTACAAGGATCCCAGCCATGCATGTGGCCCACTCACGCCGGAAGAGTTCTTCAAGTATGTGGAAGAATGGGATTCCAAGAACTACCTGATGTGTGCTGGCATCGTTGCCAAGAAGAATCCTAACCTGAAGTATGAGGATGTGGAGGAATCCGAGGGCAATCTGGAAAACGGATTGGTCACCCTACATGCCTATGGTGTTCTGGGCTCCTACGAGGGACATGGAGTCCAATTGGTGAGAGTCCGAAATCCTTGGGGCAAAAAGCAGGAATACTATGGTGATTGGTGTGATGCCTCAGAGAAATGGAAGGAAAATCCTGAGGTGGCCAAGGCCGTGAATTTCCAGCCTCGTGTGGATGGCGTCTTTTGGATGACGATCCAAGATTTCTGCACCTATTTCACCCTGGTGCAGGTCTTGAAGAAGAGTCAGCCTGGCAAAAGGGCGGTTGATACTCCTTATGAGGAAGAGCGCGCAGTGAGAGTGAAGGCTCAACGTGAAAAGGCTCAGCGCATCAGGCAGGAGCTCTATGACAATGGAGGATGGTACACCGATGAAGCGGTGAGTTGGAGGGGTGGTGAAAAGAACCCCGGCATGCGAATCTTCGAGGATCCGGCGCTTTTCGACATGGTCACAAAGGCCTACATGGATCTTTATGGGGCATTCCAGACCTTACTACTAGGAGCAAGGTTCGCTACTAGGGGCTCCTGGCATCGCTACTAGGAACAAGGGCCTTACTACTAGGAACAAGGTTCGCTTGAACACAATGCTGTCCAGGCCTACATGGATCTTTGGGGCATTCCAGAAAACAATGCGAAGGACTTCGCAGAACATGCCCGAACTGCACTACCTCCAAAGATGCAAAGATACCTGGCCAATCAGAAGAAGGAACAAAGTAAACCAAAAGGTCCAGCTCAATGGATGAAAGCCGCCTCTAAAGGTCCTCCTCTCGACAAGTTGGAAGCGACTCCTGGTGGTGGTCCAACATCTCCGAGCGCTGCTGGCAGTGGCTTGGGCGCCGTTCGTGCCTTGCAGGCGGAGCCGTCCTTCTCCGCCTTCGCGGAAAAGGACCCCTTGGCTTTGTCGGATGAAAGAAGGGCCCAAATGTTGGCTGAAGATGCAGCCAGGATTGCGGCAATGAGAGCTGAAATGACCCAAAACACAGCGCCAGCCTCTACACGACATCCAATGAATGCTGAAGAAGCGGCCGAAATTGCCACCAGAGATGATCTGACTCAAACCGAGAAATGGGAGAAGATGGGCATGTTCTGAACACCTTTGAATTGTGTTTTGAAGGTTCAATATGTTAAACTGAATCAGCTGAAACAGCTGAAACAGTTGAATCACGAAGCTCGTTTGAATCTTTTGACACTTATGGAATCTTACTACTAGGAGCAAGGACGCTACGAACGGGGCTCCTCTTGTGGATGTGTCATTATTTTTTTTGCGCTCCATGCCTCCAACGAGGCCATTGCAGCGCACGCAAGATTATACCATGCGATGCCCAGATTGCACGATCGAAGCAATGATGAAATCATTGGGCGGATCGATCAGTGTTGATACGTGCGGATCAGCGGCCTAAAGGCTTTTTGTGTCGCGCTCTGGCAGCTTTTTGCAGACTGGAAACCGACTGTGACCCGGCGCGTCACAACGCCGGTGGTGTTCATGCCCACGGCAGAGTTCTTTGTGGAAAGCATTGGAAGTTTATTTGCAGGTCCGTGATGGACTAGCAACGTCTTGAGCTGTGTGGAACTCAGAGTGGCCCAGAAGGGTTGGTCACAAGCGATCGATCGATCCTAGTAGTGTCTTTGCTGCTAGTAGTACGGCTAGGAGCCTCTAGTAGCTTCTTGTTCCTAGTAGCGATGCCAGGAGCTACTAGTAGCGATGCCCTTTGCTCCAATGAATCAAAAAGACATTGACGCGGAGAGAAGGATTTGTTGGGGGCAAAGTGACTTCAAACTGAGGCTGGTGCATTAGCTGTTCATCGTGGTGACTGAACGAAAGGACCGCCGTGGCTATAGACAGCTTAAGGCATGGTTTGCCCAATGAACTGGTGAAAAGGCACCTTTCTTCTATAGGGAAACTGAAGAGGTCAGTAAAGAAGAGGACCAACTTGTTCGCACACAATCTGGCTACGTACAACAAGAACGGTGTAGCGATGCCTACTAGTAGCGATGCCCTTTGTTCCTAGCTTCTTGTTCCTAGTA